CTACCCGTCTAAACAAACACATTGCTCACCTGATTCATCCTGACCAGACTGGCTTCATCCCTAACAGATATTCTTTTTCTAATACTCGTCGACTCCTACAAGTTATGTATCGGACTAACCTTCCTGCCTCTGCAGTTATTTCATTGGATGCCCAACAGGCATTTGATCAAATTGAATGGGACTATTTGTTTTTGGTCCTCCAAAAATTTGGATTTGGTGATAAATTCATGGCATTATTAAAAATGCTTTATGCTCACCCCAAGTCTTCTGTTTTGACTAATCACGACAGGTCTGCCTCTTTTTCATTACACCGAGGAACCAGACAGGGGTGCTGTCTCTCACCGTTACTTTTTGCACTGGCCATGGAACCCCTTGCTATTTCCATCAGGACCCATCCGTTGATCACTGGCATCTCGGACTATACTGCAGATAGTCCCATCGGCCTTTATGCTGACGATGTTATTTTGACTCTTTCAGATGTTACAATCTCCCTTTCTCCGCTTCTTACTCTTATAAAAAAAATTGGAATGTTCTCTGGTTTTACTATTAATTGGGACAAAAGTCTTTTTATGCCTCTTTCTGATGGTCTGGACACTGGTTTTCTTAGTAGCCTACCATTTAAAGTTTCCACTAATCATTTTGAATATCTGGGAATAAATATCACAAGGGACCCTAAACTTCTTTTTAAATACAACTTTTTGGAGTTAATCAACAAATTTAAATCTATGATGGATCAATGGAAGCTTCTTCCTCTTTCCTTGATTGGTCGTGTTAATGTCGTTAAGATGGTGTTCCTCCCAAAATTGACATATCTTTTTCAAAATATACCCATTTATCTTACTGCTTCTTTTTTTAAGATGATAGATTCCATTATAATTCGTTTTATCTGGGCCGGTAAACACCCTCGAATTTCTAAGTCTCACCTACAGAGACCTACTGCTGAGGGTGACCTTGGCCTTCCTGATTTTCGTCATTATTACTGGGCTTGTAATGCTAGAGCCTGGGTTTTTTGGAGTCATGTTTATCCGAAGGGGGAAGAGGTCGACTCATTATTGCCCAATTGGCCACAGAATGAAAACCTTGCTTCCATAGCACTTACTACTTCCTCTCTTTCCGCTGTAGTGTTCTCCAACTTCTCTTTCCCCTTTCAGTTGCTAAAGGATAATTTCATTTTAAAAAATTCATTTAGGATTCTGAAGCAGATAAAGACTGTTCTGAATCTCTCGGATTTCTCCATTTATGCCCCCATTTTTCAGAATGCAGCATTTAAGCCAGGGAATTTGGATGCAGTTTTCAAGCACTGTTTAGATAGAGGCATAGCTGTTGTCAAGGATTTATACATCGATAACAGCTTTGCTTCCTTCATGCAACTCCAATCCAAATTTGGTCTTCCTTCTAGCCACTTTTTCAGGTACCTGCAAGTTCGCAATTTTGTCAGACAAAATTTCCCTAACTTTGAAGACATATCAGTGCAAAATAGTTTCTTCGAGCTTAAAAAAAAGCCCCCTACTTCTAGAAAGCTAATCTCTCACTTTGTTAATCTTTTCAGTTCATCTCCTTCTACCAATCATATAAAAGAGGCCTGGGCTTCTGATACACTAGTCGAAATTTCAGATGAGATGTGGAATTTGAGTCTGTCAAGGATCAAAACGTGTTCCATCAACTCCAGATTGCAACTTATTCAATTCAAGGTTATCCATCGTTTGCACTTTTCTAAAACCAAACTTAATAAGCTGTTTCCTAGTGTCTCTCCTATATGTGACAAATGTAAATCAGACAATGGGACTTTAGGTCATATGTTTTGCTCTTGCCCTATGCTTATGGACTTTTGGTACAGAATATTCAAATTTTATAGTAACGCTTATGGCAAAGCTCTATATCCGGAAAACCATTTGATAATTCTGGGTTGCTCTAAATTCTCTGTTACTCTTCCCATGTCTCTGCAGCAGGCTCTAATGTTTGGTTTGGTGGTTGCAAAACAGGTTATTCTGAGGGAATGGAAATCCTCTACACCTCCATGCTTTAAAAAATGGCTCAATGATATGGTGTCCTGTATCTATCTCGAAGAAATTCAATACTCTTTGTAAAACAATCTTGATAAGTTTCTAGATGTGTGGGGTCCTTTTAATAGACATATTCAAAATAATGGGTTAAAATGACTCTTTTCTGGAACTCTTTTTTTTATCAAGTGGGAATGCTTATGCATTCCCACTTATTGTTGTTCACTTCAAATTTTTCTGACTCTAACTAGTCCCGCAGTTTTCAACCGATTTCAACAATTTTGGTATCAAAACGTTCAGCTTGTTCAGGAGAATTGTGCTATGTCTTTTGGTAAAGATATTTTTTGTAGTTTTCGCGATATTCTGCTTTTTCTGCGTTTTTTTTGTCCCATTGAAATGCATGTAGAATTCTTTATCATCTTCGACCTTTAACTACTTCAGCATACTTTCAGCTAGAAACACCATTCAACTTTTAAAATGTTTCCGTATCTTTCTGCTATTACTGTTTAACTCAGCTTTTTGCTAACTTTTACAGATTTGCTTCAGTGAAGCTTCAAACTTTAAAAGAAAATTTTAAGATTTTCAGATTTATAATGGAAGTCTATGGACGGAATTCTTCAACTGCTAGAGTGCGTGCTCTAGCTTTTGAGCTGTTCTGGTTTTTCCGAACAAATTGTTCTCAGTCCCTCATTTTTAACTCAATTGAAATAAATTATACATCAAAACGTAGGGATTTTTATCAGGATTCAGGAAATATAACCCTAATTTATGTGGCATTTACGGCTTTATCGGAGACAAAGGATAGCTCTCGCTTAGACTGAAATAATTTTTTAGATACCATTTACGGTTTGTCTTCAGCACTCGTTTGTTCTGAGCTGATAATCCCATTCAAAAAAGCCTGAGAGGAAAGGAACGAAAGTGAAACGCTTTTCTCTCTGTCACTGACAGGCTCATTAAGCGTTGTCAAGGTAACCGAGCTTCAAAGGGATTTTACCTCTGCCACTTTAAACAGAACATTTTAATCTAATGGAGGGAGACAACACTGATTTAACATTTGGAAATGGATACAATATGACTACTGGCCATGACCCTTCCCTTCACACGCAACCCTGATAGACTTTCAAAATAAGACTCCGGGGACCCTTCAAAATTAAAGCCCCTACATTAAACTCATATTTTTTCCCAGTATATGGCTAAACATTATGACCCAAACTCAACCACTTTTTTAAAAATGAGACTCTAGGGGGTTTTCAAAACACACCCCACCGAAAATTTCAAAATAAAAGCCTCCCATTGCCACTTTACCTACTGCCCTAATAAGGGAAAAGAGTGATTTAACAATTGGAAAGTCATCAAGTATCACTGCTGGGTCTGACCCTTTTCTCAACACACAACCCTGCTAGACTTTCAAAATAAGACTCCAGTGACCCTACACAATAAAAGCCTCTATATTATACTCGCATATTAATTGATGCAAATGGCTCAGCATTATGACCCAAACTCTACCAGCTTGTTTCTATTAGACTCTAGGGACCTTTACAAAACATACCCCAGAGCAAACTTCACAATAAAAGTCTCCCATTTACGCTCTAATACAGTATCTATTCATCCAATAACATGGAAAACCAGTGATTTCATATTTAGGAATGGATTCTATATCACTGCTGGGCATGACCCTTCCCTTGACATACATCCATGATAGACTTTCGAAATTAGACTAAAGGGACTCTACAAAATAAAAGCCTCTTCCTTACATACACTAATTCATTGTGCCATATGGCCCGTAGCAATGACCCAAACTCAACCAATTTCTTCAAATTACACTACCAAGGCCTGTTGACCACACACCTCAGTGCATATTTCTTAATCAGGTTCTAAGATTTACACTGTAATAAAGCATGTGCTAACCTCGTAACATGCAGCCCAAGCCTGCCAATGGTGCTGTCATCAACACAGCGGCTCATAACATGCAGGTTAAATTTTTTGATAAATTCAGCTCCTTCAGTGGTATTAGCTGTCTTTCTATAAGCTTCTCTCTCTGTCCTTCCTCTGCTTCTCATGGTCAGTCCTACACATAGGTTTGTATATTTTCAATCCTCTAAGGATGACACTGTTTTCTTTTTGCTGATCAACCAACACATTTTAAATCATTTCAAATTGTTGTGCCAAGTCTTGACATTTCCACAATTTCAAAATTTTGATACTTATTCAATACCATCTTCCTCAACATTTTACTTCCCATCCTTGAGCTACTCATATTTTCTTCAACCAGATAAGATTACATTTTTTCTTTGTAATTTCTTTTCTGATTCAGCTAATTTAATATTTTTCAGCCTATGCTGTGAACCTTGGCTTAATTTTGCTCTTTTTCTGGACAGGAATTAAGCTTTTCTGTTTGCTGCTAATTCATAACATGCCTGACATGTTTCTGGGCAGTAGGTGGCCCCCTTCAAAATTTCTTTAGAAATTTTTCTAGAAACTTGATAGACATTATATTAAGACCCTTCTTGTCAGAACCCTTGAGTGGAGTGTTTCTCTATTTCTTCTGGAGCACTGCAGGTGGGCGTGGCTGGCTGTCCGAGCACCTGAGACCAATCAACCCATCCACCTGAGAGGGATTTAAGGAGCTGCAGCCATCTCTTCCACGCCTGATGGTCCCCATATTCTGGTACCAATCTAGCCCTCGTGAAATTCCCCTCGAGAAAGTTTAATCTGATTCCTGTTGAAAGCTTCCTGATAGCTCACCTCTTGTGTCTCTGGATTCCCAGGTTTTAATCGAAGCGCTCCTGGACGGATCCCTTCTGCGCCTAACTCAGCGTGCTGATCCTATCTGCAGCTTAGTTTCTGTCAGCCTGCCCGCTCTCCACCGCTCCAGTGAAAACTCTCTGACGATCGCCTCAGTCTGACTGCCCGCTCTTCACCACCTCTGTGACAGCTCCGTGATCAACGTCTCCTCCCTCAGCGCACCTCCAGCCACCTGCAAAGCCCGTGGCAGTGTATTCTAAGAGACTCTCAGTTATTCTCCATTCTGTGTTGGCTGAATAAACAATAAACTCTTCTCCCTTCAGTTGTGTCCGAGCCAGATTCTGCATGTGGGTCCGTAAGGTTCAGCCAGACATGACAGAACCATCAGGCCAGTCAGACCCAGCAGAATCACCTCCTGGCTCCGCAGCGGACCCAGCCGGTATTTTGGTAAAACACGAAAACATGTTGCAGTCCCTTTTCGAGCAGCAGCACCTCTCAGGACAACGCTTGGACCAATTAACAAGGTTAATGCACGAAGTTAATCAGAAACTGTCATGTCCCGTTCCAGCAGCAGGTCCGCCCCCTCACGCAGCCGGCGCAGCAAGTGATCTCCCCCTGCCGCCTCCCGCACAGTCACGTTTCCGGGACGCCTCCTCACCAACTCCAGAGCCCTATTCAGGTGAGATCGGGAAATGTGGGGGTTTTCTGCTCCAGTGTTCACTAGTGTTTAGCCGTTCACCTCAATCATTCCCCGATGACTCCTCCCGTATTTCCTATGTTGCCGGACTTCTTCAAGGAAGGGCTTTAAGATGGGTTGAGGCAAAATTCAGTCAACAGACCCTTTTTCGGAGATCCTATGAGGAGTTTATTGCTGAGTTCAAGCAAACATTTGGTTATGCTGATTCTGAGGCTGATGTCACCAGAAAGCTCTGGAGTATCAAACAGGGGAGACAATCAGTGGCAGATTTTGCCATAGATTTTCGGACCTTAGCTGCAGCCTCTGGTTGGAACCAGCCAGCTCTTAAGGGAGCTTTCCGGCAGGCCCTCAATGAACATTTAAAGGATGAGCTTGCTTATCAGGATGAACCTGAGGAGTTGGAGGAATTCATCTCTTTAGCAGTCCGTATTGATAACCGGATAAGAGAGCGGTCCCGTGAGAAAAGATTTAGGGGGGGGGTACCCTCTCCCCAGCCAGCCTTTGCCAGGTTCACCTCAAATCCATCCACCACTACAATGTCCCCTGAGGAGCCCATGCAGATTGGGCGTGCCCGTCTGTCAGCTGAAGAAAGACAGCGTCGTATGGACTCACGGGCGTGCCTATATTGTGGCCAGGTTGGTCATTACATTGCCCTTTGTCCAGAGAGGCCAAAAGGGGGAGCCCACCAGTAGTTACGGGAATACTGGTGGGTGGGCTCAACCAAACTGCTTCCCGTTTCATCCTTCCAAGCTCTCTGCTTCTTAATCAAGAATCATTTCAGGTACCGGTGTTAATTGATTCAGGATGTGAACAAAACCTAATTGACTGTAACCTGGTTAAACAGTTAAAAATTAACACTTTGCCTTTACCTTCTCCAGTTCACGTTTCGGCTTTGGACGGTAAGCCTTTATCCTTTGTAACTCACACTACAGAACCTATTGAGTTGGTTGTGTCTGGCAACCATCATGAGAAGCTAAACTTTTTTGTGTTCCCTTCTCCCCAGTCCCCAGTGGTCCTTGGCCATCCTTGGCTCTCATTACATAATCCACATCTGAACTGGAGAGAGGGTAGAGTTGAGTCCTGGAGCCTCCATTGTCTCTCAAGCTGCCTCCGTTCTGCCCATGTGAGTTCCCAACCCGCTGACATGAGGTGTGAGGTAACTGTTGACCTATCTAACGTTCCTTCTGAATATCATGATTTAGAACTGGTCTTCAGTAAGTCCAGAGCACTCTCTCTCCCTCCCCACCGCCCTTACGACTGCTCTATTGAGTTATTTCCTGGAGCCACCTTACCCTCTAGTCGTTTGTACAACCTCTCTAAGTCTGAGAGGGAAAGCATGGAGAAGTACATCAATGAATCACTAGCTGCAGGAATTATTCGACATTCTACGTCCCCTTTGGGAGCTGGGTTTTTTTTCGTTTCTAAGAAGGATGGGTCTCTCCGGCCCTGTATTGATTACAGAGGACTCAATCAAATTACAATTAAGAACAAATATCCTCTCCCTCTTCTAACCTCAGCTTTCGAGCCAGTCCAGGGTTCCAAGATCTTCACCAAACTAGACCTCCGTAACGCCTACCATCTGGTTAGAATACGTGAAGGTGATGAATGGAAGACAGCCTTTAAGACTCCTTTGGGTCATTTTGAATATCTAGTTATGCCTTTTGGTCTTACCAATGCCCCAGCAGTTTTCCAATCACTGGTCAATGATGTTCTTAGGGACTTCATCAATGACTTTGTCTTCGTCTACATTGACGACATTCTGATATTTTCTAAGACATCAGAGGAGCATAAAGCTCATGTCCGCCTGGTTTTGCAACGTTTGATGGAGAACAGACTTTTTGTCAAGGCAGAGAAGTGTGTGTTTCATGTTCCCTCAATTTCCTTCCTGGGGTTTATACTAGAGAGCGGGCAGGTGAAGGCTGACCCTCACAAGGTTCAAGCGGTTTTGGATTGGCCGGCCCCCACTACAAGGAAACATCTTCAACGTTTTCTGGGGTTTTCAAACTTTTACCGGCGGTTCATTAAGAACTACAGTCAGACAGCTGCTCCCCTAACTAGCTTGACTTCCACCAAGAGGCTGTTTATATGGACACCCGAGGCAGATCAGGCCTTTCAGGAACTTAAGTGTAAGTTTGCTAATGCTCCTGTGCTTGTCCAACCAGACCCATCCAAGCAATTCATTTTGGAAGTTGATGCCTCTGACTCTGGTGTCGGTGCGGTGCTGTCTCAGATCTCAACTAAGGATGACAAATTACATCCCTGTGCCTTCTTCTCTCGTCGGCTCTCCCCTCCGGAGAGAAACTATGATGTTGGGGACAGAGAACTTTTAGCTATTAAGTTGGCCCTAGAGGAGTGGCGCCACTGGCTTGAGGGAACCGATTTACCTATTCTAATTTGGACAGACCACAAAAACTTGTCCTATCTCCGAGAAGCTAAACGCCTGAACCCTAGACAGTCCCGTTGGTCACTATTTTTCACCCGTTTCAACTTCATTATCTCCTACCGGCCTGGCTCCAAAAATACTAAGCCAGATGCCCTCTCCCGACAGTTCTCCTCTGACCAGGAACCCACTGAAGGTACCTTGGTACCACCATTCTAGCTATCATTGACAGATTCTCAAAAGCCTGTCACCTTGTTCCATTAAAGAAACTCCCGTCTTCACTTCAAACAGCTCAGCTTCTCATTAAACATGTGTTCAGATTACATGGCATCCCTAAGGAGATTCTCTCAGATAGGGGACCCCAGTTTACTTCAAGGGTTTGGAGAGAGTTTTGCACGGCTTTAGGAGCTAAGGTTTCACTCAGCTCTGGTTTCCACCCACAGACTAATGGTCAGACTGAACGTTTAAATCAGGAAGTGGAGGCTGCCCTTCGTTGTCTTTGTTCATCTAATCCGACTGTTTGGAGTTCCCATTTGCCTTGGATTGAGTACTCCCACAACAGTCATGTATCTTCTGCTACAGGTTTTTCTCCTTTTGAGGTGTCGCTGGGTTACCAGCCCCCCCTTTTTCCATCAGAAGAAGGGCAGACATCCATTACTTCAGTTCAACATCATCTTCGACGCTGCAAGCGTATTTGGGAACAGACTCGGAGAGCCCTGCATCGAACCGCTGAACAGAATCGGCGCTATGCTGACCGGAAACGAGCTCCTGCCCCTGCCTACCGCCCTGGAGACAAGGTATGGCTTTCCACCAGAGACATTCAAATGAAATCAGCTAACAAGAAGCTTTCTCCAAGATTTATTGGCCCCTATGAAGTGGAATCTGTTTTGGGTCCTTCTTCTGTTCGTCTAAAGTTACCAGCGAGTCTTAAGATCCACCCTGTTTTTCATGTGTCCTTGATTAAGCCAGTCAGATCTAGCCCCCTGTGCCCGCCTCCTAAGCCACCTCCTTCCCCTCGGGACATTGGTGGGCACCCGGCGTACACTGTAAGGCGGGTGCTGGATGTCCGTCGGCGAGGCAGGGGTTTCCAGTATCTGGTGGACTGGGAGGGTTACGGCCCAGAGGATCGTTCCTGGGTTTCTCGTTCCCTTATCCTGGACCCTGACCTCATTAGGGACTTTGAGGATTCTCGTCCTGGCTCTAGTGGACCGCCAAGGGGCGGTCATTGAGGGGGGGGTGATGTCAGAACCCTTGAGTGGAGTGTTTCTCTATTTCTTCTGGAGCACTGCAGGTGGGCGTGGCTGGCTGTCCGAGCACCTGAGACCAATCAACCCATCCACCTGAGAGGGATTTAAGGAGCTGCAGCCATCTCTTCCACGCCTGATGGTCCCCATATTCTGGTACCAATCTAGCCCTCGTGAAATTCCCCTCGAGAAAGTTTAATCTGATTCCTGTTGAAAGCTTCCTGATAGCTCACCTCTTGTGTCTCTGGATTCCCAGGTTTTAATCGAAGCGCTCCTGGACGGATCCCTTCTGCGCCTAACTCAGCGTGCTGATCCTATCTGCAGCTTAGTTTCTGTCAGCCTGCCCGCTCTCCACCGCTCCAGTGAAAACTCTCTGACGATCGCCTCAGTCTGACTGCCCGCTCTTCACCACCTCTGTGACAGCTCCGTGATCAACGTCTCCTCCCTCAGCGCACCTCCAGCCACCTGCACAGCCCGTGGCAGTGTATTCTAAGAGACTCTCAGTTATTCTCCATTCTGTGTTGGCTGAATAAACAATAAACTCTTCTCCCTTCAGTTGTGTCCGAGCCAGATTCTGCATGTGGGTCCGTAAGGTTCAGCCAGACATGACACTTCTAGTGCACATATTAAAGACATTTTTTGATATTATGTATAGTTTTGCTGTGCAGCTTTTAAGATGAGTTTGTTTCTTCCATTTTACTGCCAAATGATTCTACCCTACAGAATCTTCAGATGATTCAATTGTTTTCCACAGTTTGAAGCTTCTTATGACTTCCTTTCACATTTTCATATGTTCCTCAGCTAATTTGTGCTTCTTTTCCTTCTCACAGTTTCTTTAGCTAATTTTTCTCTTTTCATTCAGCAAAAAAAAAGCATTCCCACTTTGCTGTTTCAGCGAAACAGCTTTTTCTAGTTATTTATTATTATCTCAATACTGTCATCCTTTATTGTACTCTTTTTATTGATATCCCATGTTTTATGTTGATCCACTTGATACAATGCCTGCAGAATTATTTGTTGTCCTCTCTGACTCTGCCTCGTGCTTTAGTATGCTCTATTAATATAATAATTTTATTCTCTTATCAGTTCTTCAGTTTGCTGACACTGTTTTGTCTTGTTTTTTGTTTTGTTGTACTTGTTTACTGTTTTGCTGTATTTTATTTTATTTTATTTTCTCTTTTTTGTCTTGTCTCTCCACTGCCGCTTCATGCTTGCTAATCATTGACAGGTTCTCTCAACCTGTGTTATCCAACTGGACTTCTATCTTCCAGGTCCCTGAGTGAAGCTCTAGTATTAGCTCACGCTGTCCACTGGATCTCTCCATAAAGTTCAGCATACCGTCTTGCTAACCTACAGTCTACAGACTGACCAACATCATTTATCTCCACTCCACCACCAGTTTCAGGCCTGGGGGGGAAACAGCCCTATTCTTTGCTCCTGTTCATGCATATCTATCAAAATTAAGTACTATGTTTCCTGCTGAGGTCTCAGCACCAAAGACAAAGTCATTGTATCAATAAATTTCTCCTTATTGTCTTTTCTCTTTGTGTGAGTTTTTATAGATTAAACTACCATTTTAAACAACATAATTCTTTTACCCAGAAGTACAATAAAACCAACTGATTTCATGATCCAAACTAAACCAAAAACAGCATCTCAATTTTCAGCAAAACTAAGAGCTAAACAAACTCTAAACAGTTTGATAAATCTTTTTAATTATAACCTGCTCATCAGAATGCCTCTACACCTCTCTCTTATACATTGACACTAAAAAAGTAACCCCTGGCGCCAAGAAAGCTAAATCTACCACCCCGTGCTGTCTAAACCAAGACAAATTAAATAAAAGGCAAACAGCTTTAAATATTATTGCCATTTGACACAAATATATGCTTCCTTCAAGTGTTAAGATCAGATTATAATTAAACATTCAATAGTTCCATACAATAAAGTTTACACTAAAAATATTATTAATTAGAATTAAGAAAGGCACCTTAAAATATGTCACGAAACATATGTCAACTTTTCAGATATTATAAACATGACTGTTCTGAAGTTTGGTTTATAGAGGAAAAAGATGTGCCAGGTTGACATCTAATAACATTTATTCATATGTGCTATTAAATTGCATGTTTTTTATTGCATTTAAAACGTTTTGTGTTACTAAAGAGAGTGGACACTTCAGGAGAAAACCCAGTGGTGCAGCTTTTTACCTCTGTTCGATTTTGATACCTTGGTCTAAAGTAACTCAGTACTTTTTATATTGACTAAGTGCATTTAAACAGAAATGTGTATATTACTTTCATAAAATTCTTCTACTTATACTTCTATACATGTTGATCAAAAGATGGCTTAGACAACTTTTACAAAGCTTTTATAACATTTCCCTTCATTAATGACATAACATTTGCAAAATAAAACAAAAAAGTAAAATGCAAGGGCCACATTGCAGCTGATGGAGCCGATTCTGAGATGTAAGACTTTTCTGATTCTCCCCCATTGTTAAAGTTGACATTTACATGTTAAGAAGGATTTATATTCTTTTTTTTTTAGTTAATGTTATTCTAAACCTGAGTGCATTGTGTTCCAGAGCTCTTAGAGTATTCAGCTGCTCATGCTCTCTGTCAATATTGCCTTCTTTCTCTCCATTAGCTCATTCCACAGCGAGCAAAGGAGAGAGAAAAAAAATATTATTCATTGAGGTATTTCTATTTCTAATTGTATTTCTAGGTATTGTTATAATTGAGCTCTTAAAATTTGTTTTGTATTTTACGGACAAAAACCTAATTTTACTTTTGTACTTCAGCACAATGTAGAACCTTTTCATTTTTACTTAAGTTAAGACGTTCACTGTACTTTTATTTTTCCCAATGTCTTTTAACACAGGTATCTGTACTTTTACTTATATAAAAAGTGTAAATATTTAGGAAATCCCCGTTATTCAGTAATTATTACATTTCACACAAAGTTGCTAATGGTGGCATCTAGTGGTTTTGAGATTGTACATCAGGAGGCTATTGATATGTGTAAAAACACCCTTAATCTGCCCCAAATGCACCACAAAGAAAAACTTTACACTTTTGTCTAGAAAGTGAAGCACCATCTCCACAGCATTCACAATATTTTACTTTGAAAAACTTTTTATTGCATTTAAGATACATATGATTGTGTAATTGTGTTATTTCCATGTTTTAAACACATTACTACACACAAATGTGTATTTGAGTATCTATTAAGATAGTTGAATGTGAGTAAGGGATGATAATAATTTTCAAATGAATAGAATGGAAAATAATGTCTATGTGCAAAGTCCATGATACCATTTCTTCTTTTCATTAAGATTTTTTTTTTGCTGAATCATTAAGTTGAGTTGGCATATAACTTATTGTATTTGAATGACTTGCTTTTATGGAGAACCTAGAATTGCTGAAATAAGTCGAAGTCCTCTCAAAAACATGTCGAGTTTCACATAACAACAGTTTGCAGCTGTTTAACAGAAAAAAGTTGGGAATATAGCTTCTCTAATAGGAGATAAATCCCAATAATTTTTGAACATCTCCGATTGTGATGGCTTCCTCTCTTTTAACGTTTGGAAGGGAGCAATGTCTGCAGGATCCATGGTGTATCCCTCTTTATTAACCAGTTTTCCTAAGGATTTTACCAAATTTTTAAAGATCTTACTTTTTTGGGTGTAAGCTTGACCCTGTGACTCTCATAGCACTGCAAAACATTTCATAGGTCTTTCAGGTGGTCTTTAAATGTTTTGGAATGGAGCAGGTTGTCAGCCAGATATGGCAGGCAAATTTCATCTCAGTTTCGCTTCCCAAACAGGTGTTATGGTTCTTATTTGTTGTGACTCTGAGTTTTCAGTTTTCTGTTATCAGTTGTTTTGTTTTTATTTTCCATGATCTCCAAGCATTCTTTAGTTACTCTCTGTTGCCCCCTTGTGCTTGTTTTCTTTCCCCTTGGATTCCCTCTTGCCAGTTCCACCCACACCTGCTCCTTATTCAGCTCATTAGTCCATCCTTTGTTCTGTTCTCCTTAAATACTCCACGTCTGCAGTCAGTCAGTGCTGGTTCCTTCTCGTTGCTGTATTGTCTACTCTGCTCATCTCTCCCCGGCTCCTCAGACTCATTTTTCCCCTGAAGTCTCCATGGTTTTGGTTTGTTTAATATTTTAAGTTTGATTTTTGGATTTCTGCCTCCTTTGGTCTGCAATTAAACCTCTCAGAACTCATCTCTGCTTCACTCGTCTCTGCATCTGGGTCCTCGAGCAACCTCACCACCCATTGTTGACACAGGAAGCGTTTTTAATCAAAATGTCAGAAATAGCATTGAGTTCTTTTTGGTCCACTCTATAAATGCTATTTATCATATTTTGAATTGAAAATGCTTCCTGGGTCGGAAGCAAAACATCCTTACATTTGGAAACAAACTCCAGTGTTTTTTTTATTTTTTTTATTTTTGGAACCTGTATCCCGAATTGCCCTTGTCTGTACCACATCAAACCTGCAAATAATAATTTGTTTCTTATGGATTAGATTAAGGAGCGGAGCTTTTTGTCTGGGTGAGAGAAAATGGACAATAACTGATACTGTTGCTTTCCCTGAGTATCAGCTGCCACCTTGGTCTAAAGATGTTGGATGCTGTCTGTAATGAGTTCCTAATCATTTCTCCGATGGTCAGTGTATTGCTGCTGTTACTGTACTGGCTGACATGTCTATTTGTCCAGTTCAGTCTATGTGTGTTTTCCCCATCCTACAACCACTTGACAAATGACCATTTTGTTCAGGTTTAAAATAATGGTCACTTAGTCCTTCTTGGTTAGCTGCTGACAGTCCCTACAGTGCCATGTCCTGTTTGGATGGCTCTGAGGAGAATAGTTTTTTGACTCAGAGATGGCTCCTTTAATTACAGTTATCCCTCCTTTCAGTTGATTTATGATGTGCAGATGTTCTGATTCCCTGGGATTGACCGTAGGTTGTGTCTTTGCCTTTGGAGATACAGAGATTGTCTGCTAACACCCACCCACTGCACCAACAACTGCTCACTGTACTGGTTGTGGTCTTATTTCTCTTATTCTTGGTTCCTTACTGATTTTTGTAAAGTTCTGCTGTCTCTCCCACTCTAAGCTCACAGATTAATTGATCTTGGCAATTAGGACTTCATCTGTGACAGCTACACCATCCAGAAATCTGTCGATTTGATACTTCACGTTGTTGTTGGCCAAACCAGTATCCACTACCCTTTAGAACTATACTGTTCCTGAGCTCCTGGTTCAATTGATGATGCAAGAAGTAATTCCCTTTGCTAGATTTCCCTAAATAGAAAGTTATGTGGGGACTTGTTCTCCTGCATGGTGTTAATGAGCCTATGATAGCTGTCATTGGAGTTATCCTCTTTGTAATTCCCCTTTAGGATGATTCTAAGTTGTGAAAGGGTAAGATCATTAATCTCTAACATGCAACGAAGGTTTAGACCTGGGCTTGAGCTCTAATGACTGCTTCCACAATTTCAGTTTCACTGTTTTCATTTCAACCCCATTTCAATCCGATGGATTCAATGGCAGTTTGTCCTTTGGCCATCTTTTCCAATTTGGCATTCATTT